GTGGGCGTTTGCATCGCAGCCTAGAATGACAGGAAGTCTTTTCCTGCAGCAGGATTCCAGAAGCTGCTGTACCTCAAGGGGCGGCACGTTGGCGTTGTCCCCCGGAAAGTAGGCTGCAGCCAAGACCACCTCCAACTCCCTGCCATCAACCTTCAAGGTAGTCTGGACTGCTACCAGGTCCTGTGTTAGAAACTCTGTAATGCAGAAATAATTAATATCATTTTTCAGCACTACACACGCTCTGGGCCCCTCGCAGGAGAGGTCCCAAATTACCTTATTGTTGTTGTGGTTATGCCCCCTCACCTGGCCTCTGTAGGTCCACGGTTCCTGTATTAGCAGTATGCCCAGGTCTTCCGTGGCAAACCTGCTCGCAATGACCCCCGAGGCGGCCACCGCGTCATGCAGATTGACCTGGGCTACCTCTACTGCTGGTGTCTTCATAATTGGGGCTCGTCCTCGATATCCGAGAGCCGCGCGTCGCTCTCGCTTCCTCTATCGAGTTCGAGCCTGCCAATGTCAGCTAGGAGCTCCTGTGTGGTGCGCACGTAGTCGAGGCCTTTTGGCCCGGAACTCACCGGAGCTGGTACCTGTGCAGGTTCTGTTGTATGGTTGGCTGGTGCCAGTGCCTGTTCTGACAGCGGGTTGGCTGGTGGGGCCGTGGTCGACTCTGTCGCTGGGGCCGCAGTGGAGTCAGTTGCCGCGTCAACACACATGTCTTGCGACTCTGACTCCTTGCGGCCTGTCGTCTTTTGTCGCCACGGCCTCACCGAGACGTAGCTGTACCGGAAATTTATGTGGAATCCGGCCCTCTTTATGCTGACGATGCCCAGGTTGAGCCTGAGCCCGTTGTCCTCAGCGTTGCACGACACCACCTTCCACGCAGCCGTGTGGACACCCTCGTTCTGGGCCTGAATAAGCGCCAGCACGTACTCAGCCGATTTCTCGGCGCATCTAGGGAAGAACACCGAGATCGTGTGCACCGGCGGGATGTCCTCCCCCCTTTTCGTGCATAGCTCGGGTCCCTTCCACCCTTCAATAGCCGGTGCCTTTTCTGCCAGCCAGGCTTCAGTGCGCTCATCCTTGCAGTCCACAAGGAGAATGCCTGATCTGAAGAACACCCCACAGAACACCACCTTTTTAGGACCTCGTCCATAATCACATCCTGGAGTCTGGTTAGGTCCTCCGGGCATAGAGCAGCTGCAGGGTAGTCACAGGGCAGCACAGCCACCCGGATGCCTTTGAGAGCATCAGAGTAGCTGGGCTGCAGAGTGGTTCCTTCCAGAGGCTGACCTTGGCCCGCAGACCCTTCCAGGCCCCTAGACTCTGTCTGAGGGGGTGTAGGCCCCCGCTGTCGCTT